ATAGTTGCTTAGAGTTGCAGCTGAGAGGCCGGCAAGTGAGGCGGGGAACGTTGGAGTCTGCAGCAAGCAAGCCTCGTGCTCGCTTCAGTGCCTGGCTGCCGGCCGCCATCTTGGCTGACAGTTAATTTGCATATACTCACTGATTAGCCAATGAAAAGGGTAGCGGTCGTACGCTAATTACCATGTTTCTCTTTTATTAGTGTAGATTACTACATACCTATGTCAAGTTTTGCCAACACCCTAAGTTACACTGGTTAAGGAGAGCAAGAAGAATGAAGAATAGGAAGAGTGGGATATGATTATCCTGTATGAGCAAACCTCGTGATATTTTGACTGTTCAGATAGTTGTTTTCTCAGAACTTTCACGTTCCTTTAAAAGAAAACTAAAATCTCATTAATGTAACTAATCTGCAATATCAGTTGTAGAGTATTTTATGAACTTCTTGTGGAAGAGGACCTCTATACTCAGGTAAGCATCATCAGATTGACATATGGTGGTTTTGCTATAGTGGGGAGGAATAACAACCCCCCACCACAAATAAAAAGAAGAGCCATTTGTGAGGTCTGTGTCAGCCAGCCCTCCAGTGCTATCTGACTTCTTATGTAACTAGAGGATTATACATATCTGTCTTTATTTATCTCAGTCACTCCTATAAAATGGTGCAGAAGTTCTTCCTTTAAATGTTAGCAGGCTACAAAATGCCCAAAGAATAAACTATGCTGCAAACATTTTGGATATAACATCTGATATAAGAATAAAAATTCAAGATACACATCCACAAATCAGACTGGCACACTGAAAACAAATTACTTAGGAATATATTTCTTATTTTTACCTTAGTTACCTTACAACCTATTTTGAAGATGGCAGAAATTTATCGAGGAATACAGAATCAGCAAAATAATTTAGATTAATACATCAAAGGTGTAATATAGTTGTGTAAATGTTTCATAAAAGAATATAAACATTTCATTAGTTTTCACTACATTCATTCACTTTGTGTATACATCCTATTATTTTCCAGGTACTTGTGCAGTTGCTAGAAATACAATGGTGAAAAAGACAAAGTCGTACTTCAGGAGGTTACGTTTCCTGACTGGAAGGGAGAAGATAAAAAGGGCAAGTAATTAAATAAGAATGTCGGGTACTGATATATGTTATAAAGAACATAAAAAATGATATAAAAATACCTAAAGAGGTGGTCATGGAGGGACTAAGAGTATGATTCTGGAGCTATAATGTCCATGTACAAATCCAGGCTCTACCATTCAATAGGTATATGATGCCGGGGCAAGCTACCCATCCTCTCTGTGCCTCAGTTTTCTCATCTGCTGAATGGGAATAACAATAGTACTTACCTCATGGGTTTGTTGCATTAAGTAGTGTGTGTAGAACAGTACCTGGCACATAGTGCGATGTGTTTTCAAATATAAATTGTTTTCCTCTCTGAGTAACTCACATTGAATCAAGACCTTAATATTAGGAAGGAGTTCAAACTAATATGGATAAATTAAAGTACCTCTATACCAAATAAAGAAGAATAAAATGCAGTTTTCTTCTTTATATTTCCATGCTATATAGTAATGAAAATATATGAAGATTAAACCATAGTAGCACCTTTCATCACCCATCTTCACATTCATCAGAGCTTTCTTCACTCGGCTCCTCACTGCTTTCTCCTTCACTCTCCCCACTACTGTCTTCTTCACTATCTTCCTCATCTTCCTCACGATTTTGAGCTTTCTCTGCCACAGAAAGGAAGAGAATCACTTAATATGTTTCTTAACATTTTCACTCTTTTGAAAAATTGAAATTCTTCTTGCTTCTCCCTCCACTAAGAAATGTATATTTTGGGGACATAAGAACTGAGCTGAACTTTGTTAACTGTATAAAGGGTTAAAGTAGTAGTACAAATAAGACTATATTCTTACTGGCATAAAGATGTCTGTGGACTGAAAGTAAATTTCCAACCAGATCTATAAAATATTTTTTTAATTATGAATGTAATTCTTAAACAGAATAGGATAATTCAGAGGGCACTGGCTTTCCTTGGAATTGTGGGATAGTCCCTTTAATACAAGGGGCAATTGGCATGTTCTATTCCCTCTGAAGACTGTCATGCAAATGCCTGTGCCCAGGAAGCCCACTTTGTTTGGGTAGTTCCATCCCACAGAGAAAAGGAAGTCATCTTGACCATCCACAAAGGACAAGCTGGTTTCAATAACCATCCAAGATGACCATTAGCCTTTTCTTAACCACATCCTGAGGATGTACTTTGGCAATCTCCTGGGATAATGGGTTTTTAAATAACTAGTGACTGCTCATAGTTCTATGAGAAAGAATGAATTTCAATTTTTAAATTTACCCATCAGCAACATTTCTTCAATAAGTACTAAGAACTCCTTGGCCTCAGGATTTTCTGGTTCATAGATTAGGACTGAAAATAGACAACAGAGTGTGTATTACTAATGGTCAAAATGTTTCAGCAAACAGGCTCCTCAGAATGAGATTGAAACTGTCAATCAGAGTAAGGAAAAATGCACAAAAGCGATAAACACCAACAATTATACCATGGATGTATTTAAGTGCAAACAGAGAGTGATATAAAATAGCAGAAGAGAGGATAAGTTAACTAAAGTACAATAGGAAATATCCAAACTGAAGCAGAGAAATAAAAAGAAATGGGGGGGAAAAAACCAAAACAAACACAAAGCTGAGTATAAGATACATGTGGGACACTATGAAAACAAACTCTAATTTATGTATAATTGAAGATCTAGGAAGAAAAGAAAGAGAATAGAGTAGAAGTGATATTTTAAAAGATAATGGCTAAGAAAGGTAATGAAAACATCAACCCACAGAATTAAGAAACTCAGGAAACCTCTCAAGCCTCCTGTTGTATAAAGACAAAGAAAAACCACAACTGTCAAGTCAAACCACTAAAAACCAAAGATATAAAGAAAAAAAAAGTTGGGTAACATTCTTCTACTCAAAAATGTCCAACGGTTTCCCACTCAGAGAAAAAGTGAAGACCCTAAGCTGTGAAAAGGTGCTATGTAATCTGCACAACCTTAACCCATGACCTCTGTGACTTCATCTCCTATCACAGTTCCCTTGCTTATTTCTCCAGTTATATGGTCCTGGTTGTTGTCAGGCACACTTGCCTCTCAGCACATTTGCTATTAGTCCCGCCTGGAACTCACTTTTTCCAGATACCCACATGACTAGTTCCTCAACTTCAAGTCTTTCCATGCGGTCTCCCGGGACCATCCTATTTGAAACTGCTTTGCCTCCTCCCAGGACTTTCTACTCCTTCGTCCCTACTTTATTTTCCTAGATAGAACCTATTATTTATGACACACTCTTTATATGAGTTTTATCATCTGCCTGATACTAGATATAAATGTGGGATCATTATCTGTTTTGTTGACTGCTATGTTTCCAGTGCCTGACATATGTAGGCACTCAAATATTGGTGGAATAATTGCATGTTAAATAAGGTTTGCTGCACTACCTGACAGCAATTACTCATTATCATAAAGGTAAGGATTTTGATTTACCTTCATGGTATTAGTGGTAATTAATTAGTCTTTTTTACTTGATCTCATACCAATCAACCTAATTTATTGTCAAGGAATCACTGAGACACCATCAGGGAAATTCACTGGACTTAGGATAATCAAACCATCTTATATATTATGGAATGTATTTAGAAACAAAGAGAAGATTAGAAAACAGAAAGTATTTTGTACTTACTCATTTGACATAATTTTTTAGCCAAATGGTAGTCTTGGCTCATTTCTGCTCTTAGGAACTGGAAAACATTAAGAAATTCTCCAGATAAGTAATTTCAGAGAGAATTTAAATGTCAATTGTATACTCCCTAGAAAATATTCTATTAATGATTAACTATTTTGCTTTTAACATTTACACATGTTTTTCCAGGAGTGAGTCTGTAATCAGTTAATCAATTAAGAATATTTAAGGACTTCTCATGGCAGGGCAACATATGTAGAATGATACCTCTACTTTTCTGCAGCCACACTATACATACACTACTGAACAATTTGAGGATACATAGGCTGATTCAACCGGAGAAGATAGTGAAGACATTAATCACTTTAATATTCTTTTGGTTCAGATACAGCTTTTACTTGTGAACTTAGTCCATAATTACATGATCATACTCAGTAAAAAAATGAAGATTTACAATTATGTATATTCATTACTTTTTAGTATTGCACTCATACCATTTTGCTTTTACTATTTTTAAAATACTTTTCTTGTTACAAAGTAATACATTTTTGTATGTAGAAAATTTTAAAGCTAAATATACTCATTCTGTCCCCAATTAAAAAGCTTCTATATTTCTACCATCCAGAGATGTTTATTTTTACATCTTTATATTGTTTCCATAAATGACCACATATTTACAAAAACTAGAATTGTTCAGTAACTTTTTAAAAATACATCATGTTTATGTTCACATATCATGATCATTTTCTCCCATGGAATTAAATATCCTTATATGTTTTTTATTTACTTAGGCTGTAATTTACCAAACTAATATTTTATTATTAGTTATTTAAACTGCTTCCATTAAAAATAGCCTACACTTAGATAATTGTTCTTGCTTGTGTGTGACATCCTGAACCATATGTAGATACACTAGGTTTATTCTCCAAGAGACATGAGCATCGAGTCATACAAAAAACAACTAAACAACAACAAAAACACTTCTCACCCATTTCCATATATTTGTTAATACCCAGGTGCCATTGTAAGAGGCAGTTCTTTACCAGTTTTCTAAGTTTCTTCCATGGGTATTAGATTATATTTTCCTAATATAAACAGAATTCTTCTTTCTATAAAAAATTTTCATCAGAATCCTTATTTATTCAGATCAATAATTGCCTTACATTTTTAAAAATTGATTCTTGTAAAAGGTTAAGGCATTCATTTTCATTCCTATTTATAGTTTTCTTCCACTTTAATTATAATATCTAGTGTTTGATCTATGTCATTTTCTTCCAATATCTTGCTCTTAAATTGATATAATAATTTGGTTTGTACTTTGAATTATTAATTTGTTCCTTTAATTATTTTCTTTGTACTTTTCCTTATGTTTATTTTATTCTTTTTCTAGTTTTTGGTGTTAATATTTAGTTCATTTACTGTCACTCTTGAGTCATCATTATCATCAAAACATTTGAAATTTCAAGCATTTTTCAAATGTTTTAATATTTAGTGTTATGGTTATAACTATTTTTAAATGTTATAAGTTTAAATGTTTAATTCATGTGTCACTTAGAAGAATATCTTTTAGTTTCAAGTAATTGTTATTGCACTTATTTTTATTATGTTTATATTTTTTAAATCCTTATGGAAAATTTAAATATACACAGAAGTAGAGGAAATTGTAAAAGAAATATATGCTCCCAATTCTTACCTTTAAAAATTAACATTTTACCAATCTGGCTTTATCAATATCACTGCATCTTTTGCCCCCTCTGCCTAGACTATTTAAAAGTAGTTTATAGATAACACCTCATTTCACTTTGATTAAAAAGCCAATCACATTATTGCTATCACACCAAACAAAATTAACAAGAATTTCTTAATATCAACTAATATCCAGTCTAGTTTTTTAAACATCAGTATCTGCATTTATTTATTTTTAAAATATATTTTTATTGATTTCAGAGAGGAAGGGAGAGGGAGAGATGGAAATATCAATGATGGGAGAGAATCATTGATCAGCTACCTCCTGCACACCCACACTGGGGTTTGAGAAACCTGGACATGTGCTCTGACCAGGAAGAGAATCGTGACTTCCTGGTTCTTAGGTTGACACTCAACCACTGAGCCACGCTGGCCGGGCTCCAGTCTATTTAATGAAGTGTTATATTAATAATATTAGCTTCCAAAAATAAAAGGTGCATGGGATCCATTTCAAAGGCTCCTTTACATTGATCTATTTTTTATTTGCATTGATCTATTTTATGTTTTGAATATAAACATATTTTCTTTAATAATTCAAAAGCCAGTGAAATTAAGAAACTCATGCAATGGATATCTGGATAAAGACTTTCATGAAAGTTATTTAAGATTTCAAACTTAAGCTGAAGACAGGTTTTATTTATTTATTTTTTTAAGTGTATATATGTACTACCACTTTCTTTTTTTAAATATATTTTATTGATTTTTTACAGAGAGGAAGGGAGAGGGATAGAGAGTTAGAAACATCAATGAGAGAGAAACATCAGCTGCCTCCTGCACACCCCCTACTGGGATGTGCCCACAACCAAGGTACATGCCCTTGACTGGAATCGAACCTGGGACCCTTCAGTCTGCAGGCCGACACTCTGTCCACTGAGCCAAACCGGTCAGGGCTGAAGACAGGTTTTAAAAAATTGGTTGTATATTAAATTATTTGTGACATTCAAAATAAAGAAATGCTTAAAAAAGTAAACTAAAAACATGAATTTTGATGTAATCCTGACTGGAGAAAAAAAAATCCAGTTATAAAAGTCATTTTAAAGACAAATTGGGAAGTTTCAATTTGAATATAATATACTTTATTACAGCATTATTGATAACTTTCTTAGATGTGATAAGGGTATGATGTTAATTTGAAGAATGAATTATTCTTAAGAGACCCATGCTCAAGTTTTAGGGGTGATGTTTTATATTGTCTGCAACTTTCAAATGTTTTTGCTAAAAATATGTATTTAAGCTATATATTTATACCTTATCTATCAAAAGACAGAGAAAACTTAATAGAAACTGATGTAGAATTGACAAAAATGATAGCATAGTAGACAAACTTGTTAAAGTAGCTCTTATAAATATATGCCATATGCTCAAAAGTAGAGGAAAATATGAACATACGGAGAGAAATGATACAAAATATTTAAATAAAACTCCTGGAGATGATAAATAGAATGTTTAAAATGAATATATGTAATATTCTCATATATTAGAGAGAGAAAGGGAGGGAGGGCAGAAGGATGGGATTAACAGCAGATTATAATTGCAAAGATCATGAATTTTAAGACAGCAATAAAAATTTCTTAAATGAAATAGAGTACAGAGGAAAAAAAAGGAGCATCAGTGACCCTTGGGACAATATTTCGTGGTCTAACATATGTGTAATTATAGCCCAGATGAAGAGAGCAGGGGTCAGAAAAAAATATTTGAAGATTTAATTGAATATTTTCCAATCCTGGTGAAAACTATAAACGGATAGATCCAAGAATCCCAATGAACAGAAGAATCAAGGCACATCATAATCAAATTGCCAATAATAATAATACAGATGAAAACAATTAAAAACAGACAAAATGACATATTATAATGTAGATTACTAATGATAACGATAATAACAGACATCTTTTCTGAAACTATGTATCTTTCAGAAAGCAGTACAGTGGGGCCTTGACTTACGAGTGTCCTGACTAACGAATTTTTCGAGATACGAGCCGTCTCTCGGCCGACTTTTTGCTTTGAGTTGAGAGCTAAAATTCGGGTTACGAGCCAGCTTCAGATACCCCACCGCTAGTTGGCGCAGCGAACGTCACAGTGAACACCACAACATCAGCCCAGCATCACGTGTCTCACTCGTTCACTTTAAGATTTGACATACGAGTAATTTGAGTTACGAGCTCCGTCACAGAACGAATTAAACTCATAAGTCAAGGCCCCATTGTATTAGACAGTGGAATAACCTTTCAAATTATAGGAAATAACCTGGCAACCTAGAATCCTCCAACTAACCTATCTTTTTAAAAAGGTGAAATTAAGACTGTTTCAGACAAACAAAAGCTGAAAGAATTCACTGTCAGTAGAATTGTCCTATAAAATATACTGAAGGAAGTTTTTAAAAAAATTTCTTTATTATTGAAAGTATTATATATGTCCTCCTTTTCCTCCATTGATCCCTTGTAGCCCACATCTTTCCCCTGCCCCAGGCCTTCACCAGCCTATTGTCTGTGCCAATGGGCTATGCCTATATGCATACAAGTTCTTTGGTTGATCTCTTCCCTCCCACCCACCCATACCCACTGAAAGGGGTTTTTTTGTGTGTGTTTTTTTCAGGTAAAAGGAAAATATCAGATGAAGAGTTGGACCCTCACAAAGCTATAAAGAACACCAGAAATGGCCCTGGCTGGTATTCCTCAGTGGTTAGAGCAACAGCCTGTGAACTGAAGGGTTATGGATTCAACTCCTGGTCAAGGGCACCTACCTCAGTTGCAGATTCACTTCCTGTCCCTGGCTGGGGAGCATGTGGGAGGCAACCAGTCGATGTCTCTCTCACATCTCTTTCCCTCTCCCTCCCTCCCTCCTTTCCTCCCTTTCTCCCTCCCTCCCTTCCATCTACTCTCTCTGAAAAGCAATGGAAAAAAATATCCCCAAGGTGTGGACTGAAAAAAAAAAAGAACACCAGAAATGGTTCCAAAAAAGATATATCTTCTGCTCTGCAGGTGTGGTCCATTTGGTTAAGCATCATCCCATGCACAAGGTTGCTGGTTTGATTTCTGGGTCAGGATACATGGCACAGCCCACTAGGGGGAGTGCAAGAGGCAGCTGATGGATATTTCTCTCATTGATGTTTCTCTCTCCCTCTCTTCCTCTCTTTGAAATCAATAAAAACATATTTGGGGGGAAAAAGATATTTTCCAATTTAAGAAATCTCTTTAAAAGATATTTGACCATTTAGCACAGCCGGTGTGGTTTAGTGGTTGAGTGTCAACCTACGGACCAGGAAAGCATGGCTCAGTTCCCAGTCAGGGCACATGCCTGGGTTTTGGGCTCGATCCCTGGTGGGGAGTGTGCAGGAGGCAGCTGATGAATGATTCGCTCTCATCATTGATGTTTCTATCTCTCTCTCCCTCTACCTTCCTCTCTGAAATCAATAAAAATATTTTTAGAAAAAAGATAATTGACCATTTTTAAAAATATATATATTTTATTGATTTTTTACAGAGAGGAAGGGAGAGAGATAGAGAGTTAGAAACATTGATGAGAGAGAAACATCGATCAGCTGCCTCCTGCACATCTCCTACTGGGGATGTGCCCGCAACCCAGGTACATGCCCTTGACCGGAATCGAACCTGGGACCCTTCAGTCCACTGAGCCAAACCGGTTTTGGCAAAAAAGATAATTGACCATTTTTAAAACAAAAATAATAACAATGCATGTGGAACTTATAACATATATAGAAATAAAATGTTTGACAACAATAATAGCAAGGATGAGAAGGGGACATGAAAATGTACTATTACAAAGTTTGTACAATATACATGAAGTTGTGTAATATTAAGTAATGGTAGACTGTGACACCACAATAAGTAAAATTGTTTTGTTCTCTACGGAATTATCAGTAAATGTACATTTTTTTCCTGTGATATTTCAGGCTTCAACGCCTTTGCATATGCTGTTTGCGGTGTCAGGAATGCCTTCTCCTCTTGTTTACCCTTCTCTTCCTCCTTCCTTTAAGTTGTTAAGATGTATTCAGGTCTCTTCCTTTTATCCCATTTCTCCTGTTTCTTTTCTTAATTACTCACTTAATCCTCTGTTCCCAGAGAATTTCATAAACACTTCTACTAGCACATATTTCATTATAAATTATATATATATATTTTTAATTTTTTTATTGCTTAAAGTATTACAAAGGGTATTACATATGTGTCCTTTTTTCCCCCCGCCCTTGACAATCCCCTGGCCTCCCCTACCCCCCAGTGTCTTATGTCCATTGGTTATGCTTATATGCATGCATACAAGTCCTTCGGTTGATCTCTTACCCCCTTCCCTCCTGCCCCCCAACCCTCCCCGGCCTTCCCGCTGCAGTTTGACAATCTGTTTGAGGCAGCTCTGCCTCTGTATCTATTATTGTTCAAAAGTTTATAATGGTCTCTATTATCCATGAATGAGTGAGATCATGTGGTATTTTTCCTTCATTGACTGGCTTATTTCACTTAGCATAATGCTCTCCAGTTCCATCCATGCCGTTGCAAATGGTAAGAGTTCCTTCTTTTTTACAGCAGCATAGTATTCCATCGTGTAGATGTACCACAGTTTTCTAATCCATTCATCTACTGATGGGCACTTAGGCTGTTTCCAAATCTTAGCTATGGTGAATTGTGCTGCTATGAACATAGGGGTGCATAGATCCTTTCTGATTGGTGTTTCTGGTTTCTTGGGATATATTCCTAGAAGTGGGATCACAGGGTCAAATGGGAGTTCCATTTCCAGTTTTTTGAGGAAACTCCATACTGTCTTCCATAGTGGCTGCACCAGTCTGCATTCCCACCAGCAGTGCACAAGTGTTCCTTTTTCTCCACATCCTCTCCAGCACTTGTCGTTTGTTGATTTGTTGATGATAGCCATTCTGACAGGTGTGAAATGGTACCTCATTGTTGTTTTGATTTGCATCTCTCGGATGATTAGTGACTTTGAGCATGTTTTCATATGTCTCTTGGCTTTCTGAATGTCCTCTTTTGAAAGGTGTCTATTTAGATCCTTTGCCCATTTTTTGATTGGATTGTTTATCTTCCTTTTGTTAAGTTGTATGAGTTCCCTATAAATTTTGGAGATTAGGCCCTTATCAGATATGACATTGGCAAATATGTTTTCCCACGCAGTGGGTTTTCTTGTTGTTTTGTTGATGGTTTCTTTTGCTGTGCAGAAGCTTTTTATTTTGATGTAGTCCCATTTGTTCATTTTCTCTTTAGTTTCAACTGCCCTAGGAGCTGTATCAGTGAAGAAATTGCTTTGGCATATGTCTGAGATTTTGTTGCCTTTGAATTCTTCTAGAATTTTTATGGTTTCCTGTCGTACATTTAAGTCCTTTATCCATTTTGAGTTTATTTTTGTGTATGGTGTAAGTTGGTGGTCTAGTTTCATTTTCTTGCATATATCTGTCCAATTTTCCCAACACCATTTATTGAAGAGACTATCTTGGCTCCATTGTATGTTCTTGCCTCCTTTGTCAAATATTAATTGAGTAGTTGCTTAGAGTTGCAGCTGAGAGGCCAGCAGCGGCAGGCGGGGAACATTGGAGTCTGCCATCACTGGAGCAAGCAAGCCTCCCTGTTCGCTTCAGTGCATGGCTGCCGGCCGCCATCTTGGCTTACAGTTAATTTGCATAAGGATATGCTGATTAGCCAATGGGAAGGGTAGCGGATGTACGGCTAATTACCATGTTTCTCTTTTATTAGTGTAGATATGTGCATGTTAGTTCTCAAAGGTGGGACCTGTCTTTATTTCTACACATTCCCAGTAACTAGCATGGTGCCCATGCTTTATGTACAAAGCATTCCTCTAAACAGTGCTAGAAGAGTTTTATACCAAATCTACTCTTATTCCTGCTCCTTTTACCAGAATACTGTCAGTCAATTCTAGAATCTTCTCTCACTGCTCCCTTGGTGAAGGTTGTAAGAGAGATGAGTAGCTAGGTAAGCATCTGTACATGGCAAGGATCTTTTTACTATTTTTTTAATCCTCAAGGCTATATAATATTTAGTTATTTTAATATTTTTAAGATTCTTAAATTATAATGCACAAGTAAAGCTTACTTCTGCCATTAACTCTAATGGGGCACGAGTGTCCTTTTTTGGGCCACTGTCTTCATTACTTTCATCACTGGTGTCATCTTCACCATCATCTTTTGTTGACTTGGACAATTTATCATCAATAACCTGAAGGCAATTTTCATTATTTTTCTCCTGCTTTGCAATGACTTCATTTTTGCCCACCTCACCTAAAACAACATACATAATTAATCAATAAATATTAAAAAGTTCAAAAATTTTAAATGCTTACTCCTAAATGACAATGTAACAAGCGTACATTGTTGCCTATATGGCTTTCTGTTCTGGAGTTTTGTGTGTTTTATTTTTTCTTGACTAAACAGCACTGGTTTCCATTTTCAAAACAGGTAATAAAACTGTCAAATGAAAGAGGAAGAAACCCAAATCTATAACAATGAGTTGATGCTAATGTTAACTGTTTGGTGCTTGAAATTTTAATAAATAGAAAATATTTTTTGTTTATAAAGAATAATTTCAAGAAAAAAGAAATTAATGCTATTCTACCTCCAGAAACATATTTCTTAAATTATTCTTATAGAAGGTAAATACAAAATACAGAGCTTGAGAGTAAAAGTAAGGCTGGAGAGGCTGAGAAGCAAATAGTCCTTCTTAGGTCATGTCACTCCTTGGTTACTTGAGAATAAAGTTCTCTCTCTCTCTCTCCCTCAACACACACACACACACACACACACACACACACGGAAGAAACACACGTGGAATATTCTAGATATAACCAGAGGTTACATAACATTATTAATGATTTTCCTTAATGTTAAGTCAAACATAGATGACCCTACAATTAAAACTAAGCACCACTGAGTGACTACCCATTTAGTGCCTGGCACTATGCTGAGTCCCAGTTTCATAAAAATGAATGGTCCCTGATCTGAGAGTACTTGCAAAAACTCTAACTGGGGAGTCAGAAACATATGGAGAATTATAAAAGAGTATGGAAGAACAGTGATGAAGATGTGTGCTAGGGAAATGGGAGAACAAAGGAGTGCCACACCCCAGTCTGGGGAGTGGTCAGGAGCTGTCCAGTCTGAGTGGATCAGTTTTTCCCGGGAGAGGGGACAACATGAGCCAATACAGAAGCAAGAATGTGTGTGGACTATAATCACTCTGATGCTGCTTAAGGGTCAAGGTTAAGGCTGAAATGGTGACAGATGTGGCTGGAAGTGTAGGTAGGGGCTAGATGGATAATGGAGAGTCTTGTAGACCAGAAGCCTTGGGGACTATCTTAAGAATGAAGGGGCTACTAATGAAAGATTTTATGTAAGGAAACAAGTATGATCAATTTTGCACTTCTGAGGGAAAACTTGGAGAGCACGGTAAAAAGTGTATTTGAGGGAAGACAAAAATAAAGAGTAAGGGGAGAGATTAGAGTTGTCTTTTAAAAATCGAGATAAGAGACATGACAGGGCACTGGTAAAGTAGGGATGGAGCGTAAGTGATAGATTAGAGAAATATTTAAGAGGTAAAATCTCTATGGTACAAACTATTGAAACACTTTCCAAACTTCAGTAATTCTTATACTATCTTCATCCATTTTGATATCTACACTAATAAAAGAGAAACATGGTAATTAGCGTACGATCTTCCACATTCTCTAAAAATCAATGGAAACATATCCCCAGGTGAGGATAAAGAAAGAAAGAAATGTCATATCCTATGAAAGACACTTCTTGAAAATGCCTAAAGAAAGTTGTCATTTTTTCATGGTAAAGGGACTGGAGTCTGTGTTGATGAAAACACCTTGGTGGCTGCGGTGACTGGCAGTGGCTGCAGCAGCGGGGTGATGGGGCTGGTGCCTTCCCCTCATCAGCCCGGTCGCCTTCCACAAAGGGAGGCCAGACTGCGGCTTAGGTCTGCTCCCCAAGGGGAGCAGGGAGCAGGTAGTAGGACATCCCCTAGGGCTCCCAGTATGTGATAGGGGGCAAGCTGGGCTCTGGGAACCCCCTCCCCAGTGCACAAATTTTTGTGCACCGGGCCCCTAGTATATATATATCACCTGTACTAATTAATATTCTCCTTTGAATGTACTTTTATAACTTATATACTTTGTTAGATCATAAATATCATCCATGAAACTGATGGATTAATAAAAGTAACATATAATAATCCTAACACATTATATCCAATTACTCTTCTAAACACTACATATATTAACTCATTTTCTCTCAACCCAAAGAGGTTTTACGTTTATTTCATGCATAGATGAAACTGAGGGACAGAGAGGTTAGATAACCTGCCCAGCTTCACACTGCTAATTAAATGGTAGATCTGGGAGTCAATTAGACTCCAGAGTACATATTATTATTATTATTTTTCAAAATATGTTTTTATTGATTTCAGAGAGGAAGGGAGAGGGAAAGATAGAA